TAAATATCATGCCAAATACCGGCAAAATACTATTATTCAATCGCGATAATTTAGATATTATATTTGAAATTCTTGAGACTCAAATAGTGAATAGTTACGCCATTAATACGAAAATTTCCAATTTAATTAATACAAATAATCAACTTTCTCTTATAAAATAATATAATAATAAAATAATATTTATAACATATATTTAAACTATACAGGTTAAACTATGCATATATTTAAACTGTAGTAAAACATTTATGTTTTTTACACATTTAATTCTCATTTTAATCCCAACTATTTATTTCATTCTATCATATAAAACTGTATACCCTCATCATAAAAATATATAAAAAAACACTAGGAAACGACGATGCAATTTCCATCGCTATCTGCGTCTTTCTTTTCTCCCTCTCTCTTTTTCTCCTTCTTTTTCTCGATATCATACATGTTCTCCGACCATCTCTCTCTTCGTTTTCCCCATTGCCAGTATCCCCTCCATTGGGACTTCCTCCAAACTTATCCCCTCCATCGTATACAAACCCCCTTGACAGCAGAGATCGCGTGCACGAGGGCGCATGCACTACCCTCGAGGAATCAATAGACTGTCCCGGTCACGTGAATCGCGAGCTGGAGGAGAACGGGCGAAGGGGGAGAACGAGAGAGGGATCGAGGATCTAAGCGAGCCTAGGAGGGATTGAGGACGAAAACCGAGAGAAGGGAAGGGAGGAAACGGCGACTGGTCGCGGAGGGTTGCCCGAGGGTTTGTTGACGATTATACAACGCGCGTATGTGGGTAAACAGCGACACGAGTTCTCGTCCGATTGAAATGCATAATGTAAACATCTCCTTGTCATTACAGAGTGAGCAAAAAGAGCACGCGAGAGGATGGATGGGCAATGGAATGATGGTTATTGCGCATTATCTCCGCGGGATACCTTGAACGCAAACGATCGGGACACGGCATCTATCTTACCTCTCCCCCCACCCCCCACCCCTGATGCACTGACTAGGGATCGAAATGCGCGTCGAATCCAGTCGTCATCAATTTCGAGGATACGCATATAATTGACGTGAATATCTGAAATTATGGTGTTTGACATTTGTACAATCATCGTTTTATATTTGTCATTCTTTATTTTTAATTATTCCTATGAATAATTAATATATTTACGTTTTAAAGCATATTTATGATAATATCTTGTACTTTACGTTTGAAATATTTCTGCATGCATATGCGATTACTTTGCATAAATATAGTATAGAACAAGAAGTTAAATATTTCAAAGAATGAAAAGTTATTTTTTTCTTTTTATAAAATATTATTTTTATAAAAATTTCAAGAAAATAAATTTTTCCGAGATTCTTGTTTACGCGTTTCTGAATTTTTTATATCTATTCTTGGATTAAAATTATGCGTGAAATGTAATAAGATTTAACAAGATAAAAATTAAATTGTATATCGGGGAATTAAATCCATTAGCTTCATCATTTAATCATATAACGTTCCGTTTACTCGAAAGACGATTTAATTAACTGATGAATACAATTACTTATTCATTTAAACAGTTCACAATTTCCTCACATTTTGATGATTAAATTTGTATAAATGCATATAGATAAAGTGTCTTTAAAGTCTCATTTTTCTGATTGAATTATAGTTTTTATCAAATTTGAAGCTGACATTTTTTTTATAACATTTTTAATATAATTTTTTGTTGATTTATAAAATTTTCTTATCAATCAATGCTTAAACTATATTAAAATTATATTAAATTATATTAAAATTCAACGTTTTTTAAATAGAATTCACTAAAATTTTGCTTTATCATTCGCTGCGAAAAACTGTATAGTATTTTAGAGAATCAAGATATAAATTTTTGGAGCCTAAACTTTCGTACAACATGCAACATCGATTGCGTTCAAACTGCGTAATTTTCGCGAGGGGATGCGTGACCTTCAACTTCAGATCCTTTTCTGCAGGAAGGGATTCCGGCCCTCCCTGTTCGTCCTCGAGACCCCATTAAAGCCAACGAATCCCATGAATGGAATAGTGACTTCACTCCCCTCGTCATTCTGAGAATCTACGCAGCAACGCTTTTGCGTTACGTAATATTACGAGGTTTATCGCTTTTTACATTCTCCTCTTTATTCCTAATTTTGGTAAGAATTGTTTCATTAGCAAAAAATCATTTCACTTCAAAATCATTAATTTCTTTAATCAACTTTGACGATTTATTGTTATAATTAATTAACTAGATATCGAACACATTTAATCAAAATATCTTTCTTATTTAATTCCTCGCTCAAATTAAAAAAAAATATCTGTATGATTTATAAATAATTATTTATTCAACAATAAAAAACAGTTATCGAATGATTATTCAATAAAAAAAATAAAAATTCAATAAAAATTGTTTTACACATGGAAGTTGCAATATTTCGAATTAATTAGAATTAATAAATAAATTAAACAGGATATACATTTTTTTAACTACAAGAGGAGTTATTTATCAAAATGTATTTTATATAGAAAATAAATAATATAAATAATATTTACAACTTCACAGAAACGCAGAATTTCATAACTTGCAAAAAAAGCGACGAGCAGTATTTTTATTTTATTAATTTTACGCTTCTTCTCTCGCATGTTTTTTTTTAACAGCATTATGATGTCGAAATAATAAAATAAAAACAAGATAAATAACAAGTAGTAAAATATGAATAAAATGAAATACACGCGAGCATATTTAAATGTTGAGCGATTTTTTTGCAAACTCCTATCTCTTATCTTTTATAAATTCGCGGAAAAAAATTCGTTTCACCCTCAAGCACGCTTTTCCCCGTTCGTTGTCAGCGAATGTATTAGTGATGGGAATAGAACACGTGCGGACAATGACCTCACATGCAGCGTTGCGCATATGCACGTAACTAGCGAGCACATGCATATATACATGCATATGCCGTCACTTGGATAGCGAGCTTTTCGTATTACATGCATATATCGATTGTATATGACGCCTCGTGATGCAAACTAATGAGGAATGCGACTCAAACGCGAGATTAATCAACATTTGTCGCGTGAAACTTTCGAATTAAAATCTTTTATTTTTTTCTCATATAAGCTAATAATAATATAAGTTGTGTGTAATATAGTTAAAATTGTCGTGCAAAAACTATAACATGATAAACGAATAATTTATTGCGAAAGAATGTATAATCGTCTCTCCTTTTATAAACTTTCATTAGAATGATAGAATATTCATAGAATAAAATTGATAGAATTGATAGAATAAAATTGATAGAATTGATAGAATAAAATTATAAAGTTATTACATGTTACATAATACACATTTTGTAGATATTTATGTTTATAGTTGTAATTATATTTCATTTTATATTTCATCAAACATTCGAAATCAAATGGTTCATAAATTATTATTATTATAAAATAACTCCAAACATTGAACATTTATATAGAAATTATTCAATCTATTATATATTTTAATGTTATTAAATATTATTTATGTTATTAAATATTATTTGTATGATAAATGTAAAGATATTATTACAATCAAAACAGAAAGCGAATCTCTATATTAAAGTTCTATTCATTAATACATCATTCTCAAGTATCAATGTCTAAAAAATCGAGGCAAAAAATTTTCCAGTGACTTTCCATCGAATTTGTTTTTTGCGGAAAGATACAGATGCAAAAGGGGGAAATCGCGTGTAATAATTTGCACGCATCATTGTTGCGCGGATTGTCAATCATCGGCGGTTGCAGTTGTCAGCGAAGTGAAAGGAATACCGCTGACTGCTGCAGAAACACACGAAATGCATCCAGGTCGAAGATGTAATTCGGATCGATTTCACATCTCGGGAAGCGAACTACGGGAGATATCTCCGGAAAAGCATACGCGGCGCGGAATTTCCCGGTTGCATAGGCACTATGCAATTACACTGCCTATGTGTCGCGCCTTTGACATACCGTGTATACAAGAACGATACGTTCGATCGATATGGAGGCTTCTCCCGTATCGAGATAATATTTAAAATTCATTCCCGTTGAGACTTAATATGCAGCATCGCTTATGTTGGTCCCGTAAAATATAAATGCGTTAAAAGAATGCATTATTGTAACGAAGATTTGTACCACCTATTTAATTTTTAATAAATTTAATTATTTCTTTGATTTATTATCGCGACTGCCAGAAGATTTCTTTTTCTATTATGTGTATATGTTTAACTCTTTCTCTCTCTTTCTTTATTATACACTCTTCATAGGAAATAAAGCAAATTATGATAAAACGATTGTAGTTTTAATAAATGACTTTAAAGTAATATATAATATTAACGGTTATACACAAGAGAAGAAAAGAAAGAAAAATAATTTAAATTGTAATTATTTTCATATTAAAGATAAATCACGTAATTATTTTCATATTAAAGATATATATTCAAAATTTTCACGACGAACAATAATTTTCGATATCATCGAAAAGTTAGAGAAAAATTATCTCGAAACTAACCACAGAAATTTTGATTAAAAAGTCCTGTGTACATTCTATATATAATCTGTGTATGTGCCCTATCTTTCTGTTTCCTCTCTCATTTCAGATAAAAGAATACACACATAAAACGTAATTAAAGTGTTTAAATTAATGGCGCCAATGAAAAGTATAATTTGAAGCATAATTGCATTTTCAATTATATACACAATTATTTTTCAGGATTATTTTATCAATAATTCAAAAAATTATAAATTATAGCAATGCCAATTCACATATGTATAATATATATGTGACTGTATCTGTGTATTTATTTAAAATATTTCGCTTCTATTATAATTAACTCCATAAACAACTAATATACTCCATAAAAAGATATTTTGGAGCAGACAGGATTGTATAAAAAAAAATGATATATTTTCGTGAGATTATAGTTTTATGATAAGCATCTTTTCATCGAAACGCCATGAACAGTATTACAATATTTGCCGCGTCGACACTTACCTCGTTACCGGACAGCTACCGGACAAGCGGACACGAGGCGTCGTCGTTGATCCTTGCGACAGGTGATGCGCAGCCTCTTCCTTCAGCGAAGCTGTCACGGGGACGTGGTCTGGTCGACGATGTCGCGCGATGGCGTTAGCCCCATCATCCGCGGCGGCACATCGCCGCCGTCACGAAATGCTGATCGATATTGACACAACGACGAGGCAGGACCGCGAGACGCCAGGCGATGACGAGGAAGAAACGCCGCACGAGAATCGGCCGTGACACGCGCGAAAATCCTACCGTGCTCTCTTGGAGAAGGCCTACGCGTACTTGTCGCGTGCGTGCGTGCATGCGTACGTCCCGCGCGCGTTTCCGCAACTCCGTCGAATGCCGTCGCAAATCACTGCGTGAGACAGAGTACCGGCGTGAGAGCGCGGTCCGCCATGTTGTTTCGCGGCGATTAAAGGGGATCGACCCTTTTCATTTTCAGCCGCGGTGAGTGGCGTCCGGCTTTTTTATCGACCTCGCCGGTCGAAAAACTCTCGACCAATCGGTGACGTTTGCAAGACTGTCTTTATTTTTTTAAATTTCTTTTTTATGCCATTATTCGTTCGTTTTCTTTCGCGAATTTTGTGTCTGCAATCGAATCGTGTCGCGCATTTGAATCTTTCCCGTCTCTTTCGCCTAATTTCGACAAAAATTATCTATTAATGTATAATTTACTATTTATCTATATTAACATATTAATAATACAAATTTTTTTAATGGACTAGATGTCTATATGTTTTTTATGCCCATCTTCCTCTGGCATTTTTTAAATTATTTCTTTAAAACTTATTGAAATTATTTTTGTAAAATACGCGAAATTATTTTTGTAAAATCATTTTTTCAACAGATTTCTACGAATTTCTGAGAATTATGCAAAAATTACAAGTTAAACTTTAAAAAACTTTGTGAATCTTAACAGTTGCAATATATTTTACGCGTTATCATTTTTTGAAATTCGATAAAAAAACTAGAAGGTTAGTATATCTCTATCTATAATAAGTATATCTCTAATATTTTATTTGGCATTTTACCTCGAACGCTTGACTGGAGCAACGTTTAACGTACAAGTGCGAGAAAACCGGCTCTACGGCTATCTATTATTAACGTTTACTGTAATTCACATATTATTATAACACAAATAATAACGAAAAAAGCTGTAAAAAGTTCTACGTTGCAACTAGTAAGTCCGCGAAAACTGTTATGTATAGAGAATGTATAACATGTCGCGCGATAGCCAATCAGAAGTGACAGCCAATCAAATTCTCGCTTTTAAGGTGCAATTTCATTGACGCTAAAAAGTAGCGTCAACCATTGGTTGAACAATGAAGCAACTACTTACTTCTTTGTTCAACCAATGGTTGACGCTACTTTTTAGCGCCAATGAAATTGCACCTTTATAGTAACTTTGCTTTAAACGCTCGGTTTCTCTTCTCTGTCGCGCGACATAGTTTCAGGCCATTGTATCCTTTTCAATGGCGTTGGAAGCAATTTCCTAAGCGGGTGCGCGACGTGTGTCCTCGTGCCTTTCCGGTTAGAATTCCAAGATGGTAAGGTTGTCACGGCTCTTAAAATCTATCTACATCACGCATATGTTACGCGAATCCTTTTAATATATGAGAAAAAATCGTTGTGCACATTTTCGTACGATGAATAATATGTTTATAAAGTGATATATATGTCTTATTGTTAAGAAAATTATAATGTTCATTTGATTACATCGCTTCACTTTGTTTCCTTTTAACTAATTCTTGATACCTCCTGCTTTTCGTTACATTCATTATTATTATATTATAATTGTTTTTCTATTATGTTCGAAAGAACTATAGTTTTATTTAAATTAAAAATATAACATTATCTAACCTAAATTTGAACATAACCTAAGTAAAGTATTGTGACAAACACATTATTTTATATTTTTTTATAGTATTGATAATATTAAAAATGTTAGTACAGAAAAATGTGCAGATCGTTTTATCAAATACTTATGTTCTGTGTAAATTTAGGGAAATTTTAAATAATTTTTTTTACTTAAAAAAATTGATTAAAATAACAGGTTATTGTTAGAAAAACTTTATAAAATTATTATTAAAACATAACAAAGTTATACTTAAGTAAAAAAATTACTTGTCAGTATTAATTTTTCAGATTTCATTATGCAAAATGTTAAAATATTTTGATTTATCAAATATATACTTGAAGTATATACTTTTTAATATATATTTTAGTACATACTTTTGATTATACTATTAAGTATATACTAAGTATTACTAAAAACGAGGTATATTTTTTATAGTAGAAAAGTTTTATCGATTATGGAATTTTTTTCTTCTAGGCTCGTGGCCCGAAGAAGCATCTTAAACGTCTTAATGCTCCTAAAGCATGGATGTTGGACAAATTGGGAGGTGTGTACGCCCCCCGACCGTCCACTGGTCCGCACAAACTTAGGGAATCACTTCCTTTGGTTATCTTTCTGCGTAATAGATTGAAGTATGCCTTGACTAATTGCGAAGTTACTAAGATTGTCATGCAACGCTTGATTAAGGTGGATGGAAAGATTCGCATTGATCCCAACTATCCTGCTGGTTTTATGGGTAAGTGCTTTACTTCTATACTTTTTATTTTTTATAAACATATATTTTACATTATCTTGTAAAAAGTAAAAATGGGCCATATTTGAGCTATAGTATAATTGTAAAAGTATTATAGTCAGGAACTGGCCAATAGCAAAGTAAATTCTTCAGTTTGGTCACAGATTAAGTTGCACATTATTGCACATATTCTGTATTACCCATGAAGTGTATAAAAATGTTTAACTTGTGCATTGATACAAGTATAAATTGATATAGATTAATTGTATTGTAATTAAAATGTTTTAGATGTCATTACAATCGAGAAGACTGGTGAGTTTTTCCGTTTAATCTATGATGTCAAGGGACGTTTTACTACTCACCGTATTACTGCTGAAGAAGCTAAGGTAACTGCTTGATATCTAAAACTATATTATATCAAATATTTATATTTTTATATTTATATGTGATATTGTACTTTACAGTACAAATTGTGCAAGGTAAAGCGCGTTCAAACTGGTCCTAAAGGAATACCATTTTTGGTAACACATGATGGCAGAACAATCCGATATCCTGATCCTGTCATAAAAGTCAACGACACTATTCATTTGGATATTGCTAGTGGCAAAATCTTGGATTCTATCAGATTTGATTCTGGTAATTATTCTTTTTTTAATTTACTCGGTCATAATAATAAAAAATTATAAAATAAAAAATAATGATATTACAAAAAAATAATGCAATATATGTGTGAACAAATAAATATTATATTAAAATAAATATACACATATATATACATATATATAGATATATGTAAAGCACATAAAAAAATAGAAAACATAGAAAAACAAAAAAAAAGATATCAAGCATAATCTGCTTTTGTTTATCAGGTAATCTATGTATGATTACTGGTGGAAGAAATTTGGGTCGTGTTGGTACTGTCGTGAGCCGTGAACGTCATCCTGGCTCCTTTGACATTTGCCACATAAAAGATACACAGGGACATACTTTTGCTACAAGGTATATAAAATAAAATGTGTTTTATTTTTATAAATTTTAAAGTCTAAGTATTTTTAATTAATTTATTATTATATGTTGATGATGGAATTATAATTATATTAATCTCTCTCTGATTTTTCAATACATATTTTATTTAAAGGAATGGTTCTTACATCACTCATTATTTTACATTCTCTCTCTTCTTTACGAATACTTCAAGATTTCATTTGTTTTTTAAAAGATAAACTTTGTTTCTGGGCCATATCGAAGCTATGACACGTATATATATTGCTTGTTATAGTCAAACCTTGGCCAAGATTAAATTCCTTCATATTGGTCACTGATTATCGTTATAGATTTTCCGTATTACCCAAGAAGGAAACAATATATGTTATATACAATTTATTTTCAATAATAATAGTAAATTTTTATTGTATATTGTTTTAAATATGCAATGTAAATTTATCCAGGTTGAACAATGTCTTCATCATTGGCAAAGGCACGAAGGCTTATGTGAGTTTACCACGAGATAGAGGTGTGAAGCTATCGATTGCCGAGGAACGCGACAAGAGATTAGCAGCGAAAGGAGTGAATTAATAATGTAAATTTTCCAGGAAATAAAATTAATCAATAAAAATATAATTTAGAATTTTTTAAACAATATAAACGATAGTACCTAAATACGATATGTTTTTGCCAAATATATCCCAAGTACATATAACTTCATTTATGTACATATTTTAAAAAAAAACTTGATTTACATAAATATATAAATTTGTTTAATTTGTAAATTTATCATTTTTTTAAAAAAACTTTTATACTTACATTTTATAAAACAGATAATGTTATTATAATTGTTATAATTATCGTTTTCCCTTAAAATTTTATTGTGCGCTTTAAATAATTGTGTATCATATTTTAGATATTTATAATCAAAATAATTATTTTCTTTAAATTATTTTATTTTATTTAAAACAATATATACTGGTTATATTCTCTTATTTAAAATCCTTCAAATTATTTTGAAAGCATGCGCGTGCCATTCATCTCGATGTTGCGGCAGCTAGAATCTATATCGAGTCTTAACAAGATTTTTAGCAGATTTTAATCATAGGATAAGCGGATTAATTTACATCAAGAATGACAAAAAAAGTTTCAAATTATCGTTACATTGCATTTGTTTAAGTTCATTTAAGACTATATTTTCGTGCATTTTTTCAAAGGAAATTCGTGTAGTTCGAAGTGTTAGAAGTGCAGGGGGCGCTTGCGCATGCGCGTCGGCGGCCATATTCCTTTTGGAGTTTCGACGACGCAGAATCAGTGTTGAGTCGTAGACGGGATCTTTCGCAGATTTTATAACTTTCAAGTGAGTTGGTTACATCGAGAATGGCAAATAAAGTTTTAAATTATTGTAGCGTCGTGTTTGTTTATGTTCGCGATCATGTATTGTAGCGTATTTTGACAGAAAATTCGCGTAGCGCAAAACGAAAGAAGTCGTGCGACGAACGCTGCGTGCGCATGCGCGTCGGTAGCCATATTCGTTTCGGCGGATGCGGAATCAAGTGCGGTGTCAAGTCGTGAAGGAAATTTTTCGTAGATTTTAATCGTTAAACATTGAGTGTTTGGATTAATTTATGTTGAAAATAGCAAGCAAACTCTCAAGTTATCGTCGCGTCGTGTTTGTTTACGTTCACGATCATGTGTTATCGCGCATTTTTGAGAAAGTCTGTATGCGAAGCGAGATAAATGCGCAGGAATTTTCAAGGGGTCACACGAGTGATCGCAAGGACATCGCGCAAGGAATTACAGATACAATAACTGAAGAAATACGATGAATTTCGGTGAGTAAGTTTGTTTAATTATTTATTATTGATTATATTAATGATCGTTTATAAATCTCTTATTTAGTAGTTACGGCTAATTAATAATAACAGTTTATATTCGTGATTGCAGAGCATCGTGTTTTCTGCCGGAAGTTCAATCCACAGTTGTGTTCTCGATAAAATAGGAAAAGAGAGAGCTGAAAATTGAAGATCAAAAGAACGATTACTACACGAAGTGCTACAATTTAGTGAGTAATTTGATTTATTATTGTTGGCTGAAGAGGCCGTATATGTATCTTGCATTTGGCGTTAAATGTGGCTATTTATAATAATGATTATAAATTTATATTATATATTAGAAATATATAGGTGTAGAAAATTAATTTGATTATAATGATAATAGAATTATTATTATATGAAAAGTACTATAATTATACGAAGTATATACCATATAAAATATTATAATATTATAAAATTAAAATGAAATAGTTATGATAATTTGATATTATAATAAAATTAAAATTTTATGTGATATAATCTAATAGCTAAATTATAATAAACTTATAAAAGTGAGTAATTTTAATAATTTGAAATTAGAATAAAATTAAAAGTTTTTTTTATTAAATTACATATCATAAAAAAATTCGTTATTATTAAATTACAAAACAATGATGTTATAATAAAATAATTTTATTGAGTTGAGCATAAGACGGCTACATTTAATGCTAAATGTAAGTACTAAATATTTAATTTAATGCATAAAATTTCATAATGAATCATTTGAAATATATTAAGTATAATATATATAATATAATATATAATATATAATATAAAGATCGATGAAATAAAGATGCGCATTCATTATAATATACATTGTACAATCAAGTACTTTTTAAAATAATGCTATAATTAACAAGCGTAAACAGTAAATAGGTGTGAAAATTGTGGGCATGAGCAAAAAACGTAGATTTCTAGATTTTTACTTTTCTGGCAGCCAAACTTCGGTATTTAGTTCAAGCGCATTTTGCAGAAGAGCATTGCATTGCTCATCTGTGAGTTTTTTGTTTCTTTGTTGTACTTCCTTTGCGGCTTTTAAATATCTGTGGGATAAAATATATTATAAGACTGCTGTACATATTTTCTGCATTAGACATATGTATAGAAAATAATTCTGCGTTCTTAATATTATTGTACGTTAAAACTTTTAATTTATCATAAAAAATTTATGTCTGAAATATGGTACACGTGTGATAGCTTTGAAATAGCTCATATAAAATAAAATAATAAAGATTTCAATAAAGTATAATTACTTTTGTATAGAAAGAACCATATTCTTGATCTCGTTCTCAACAGTTCGTGGTGATGGTCTCACATTTTCCGTATTCTCAATATGTTTTATTCGAGTAAACGGACAAATACGAATCCATCCGCCTTCCTTTACACAGGAAACTCTCCAATCTCTGCCGTTGTCCCAAATCGTTTTAGAAGCATAATTTTCGATCGTATTTCCTTTATATCCTCGACGTATGTATTTGTCCATTAATAGTGGGTTGTAATGGGACCAGGCAGTTGGACAAATTTCCGGCGTTGATTGTCTTAGCTGATGATAAAAAAAAAATTAAAATACAAGTAATATATTTTTTTTCGAATAAACAATACGTTTCCAAATGCAAATCTTTTTTAAGATATTATTAATTTTTTAAGATATTATTAATTTTTGTTTAATATCTTCTTAAGACTAATTTTTTTCATGTTTCTTGTCTATTAAAGAAAAATATTATTTTGGGAATTTTATTATTATTACCGTAGTTCGGGTATCTGGAGAGAAATTTAGAAAAGTATCAGTTTCTCGTCCGAGTTTTGATTTTTTTTTCATGGAGCGACCAAATTTGGAAGACATTTCTCCCTCATCCTCTTCAACGCGCTCAGAAGAGGACCAGATTGTAAATAGGGAGAGTCCGGTATTACATACTGGAAGACCTAATAGATCAAATAGATCATGCAATAGGGGTTTCTTCACTTCCGAATCGACTTCACAGTCATTACTCAAAGCCGGACTTAAGTTCACCTGTAATTTAATTTGTTCTATAAATTCGTTATACATTATTACAATGTTTAATTGTTTAATTTAATTATTTGTATTGTATTAACCTCTAAGAGCCATGGTTTCAAATTCTCATCAATTAACACATCAAAACCGAAAAATTCAAAACAATTCGAGGATTTAGGAATGCCTGCCGCTTGACTTAGGATTGTTAAAGTCACTAAACAAGAGATTTTCTGCCACAGAATCCAATCGAAATATCCTGATTGCTCGAAATATCTCCTTAATTGTCTAAATGTCCATTTGCATCCTATATAAAGATGAGAAAGTTATGCATTATTTCAATTTTTTTAACCTTCATATACAATTATAGAGCAAGATATTAATTAAGAACAAAATAAAATAATTTTTACATATATAATAATTTTAATTAATTATTTAATAGAAAAAGATTAGCACTTCGCGAATAAATTGAATAATTTTTTATCGTATTTTAAATGATACATAATTAAATAATATGTAAATACATTTTAAAAAATCAATTAAGTTAAAATGATTAAACGAAAAAATTTTAAAATTATAATTCGTTTTAGATTTTTAGATATTCATATATGCATACAATAATATGATGTATGCATATATGAATATCTAAATCTGTATCTTACATGTGTGATGCACTACTAGTTAATTGCAATTTATATAAAACATATTTAGTGTGAATAAAATTGTGCTATTAGCATCAAATACCGGCACCGATGCGTTCCTTTTTCTCTGAGTAACCTGGTCCCAACTTGTTTAGGGAAAAATTTGTAAGATGTCGGAACGGATCGTCCAATCGTTCTAAAGAAAATTTTTCGGTAGCGAAACGGGCCAAACCTTCCTTGTACAAATAAATCGTTAATGGACGATAGGATGGCACACATACATATAAGCGCAGATCGAATTTATATCCGCCGATTAGCAGAGGGTTTTCGATATATCTTTGCGCAACTGCGGCATTATCGTATGATAAATCGCTTAATTTCTGAAAAGATATATTTATATCTTATTAATTTATTAATTTATGTAATTCGTATTTCGATTTGCACTGATGAATTTTTAAAAAAAGCCTTACGCGAAACAAAAAAATTCCTTTTCCCTGACTTTGCCCGACTGGCTTACAAATCCAAATTTTATAGTCTTTCTCATAACGACTACATTCTTCGGCTAATTTCGTGTATTCGGAAGGTAAGTTATATCCTGCGGGACTAATGCGACAAATTAATATTATTAGAAAGAGATAATTATATTTTAAGTATCACACATAGAAAAATAAGTAATTAATGAAAATCTATTTATCATTCATAATACCTGAAGTCATAAATCGAACCGTGGACTTTTTTCATACATTTCAAATGACGAATCAGTTTATCCTTTCGGCAGATGGAATTTCCTTTTGGTATCCGATTGACAAACTATTCGAAAAATAATCTAGCTAACGCGAGTTGACTAAACTAAAGTTCTATATATAATTCATGTTATAAATTATCTAAATTCAATAAATAGAAAAAACTGTTGAAACAAATAATAATTTTATTGATTAAATTTGAATTTATCTGTTTCCATTTATGCAAAAAATTTATTTATTATGATAAAAAATTGGAATTTCAAAGAACAACTTTTTTTTAAAATTTTATGTAAAGTACTTGTATTTAGTGTGATTATTGTTAATATTTTTGAGATTTGAAAACAAAGTAGAAATATTGCATTATTACCTGCCAGGGAAGTAATGGCCTATAATGCGACGTGGGGAAACCACCGGACCGCCACCATAAATTCCATCGATCTTTGAATACATTATTTTCGCCGGCATACTCCCGCCATCCGCGTTCCGTGCAAACCTATAGAAGAAAAACATCCGCGAATAGAAAGGGTAGCTGATATTGGCTAGACGGTTATTCCAAGGGCCAGATACTATTTATAATCCGTCTCAGATGTCGATATGCACGTGAGTGCTCGAGCATTTTCCTCGTTGTCAAACGACAACATAAAAGCGAGTCTTTTCTGCATTTTATAATAGTATATAAAATATGTATCGATGCAAAATATCATGGTGAAATGCAGTCCTTTTTAAAATTGGCAATAAGCGCAATATTGGAAACTTTGCATTCATTGATATACTATGTTAATTTATATTTTTACGTTTCATTGAAATTCATGATTGTTTTAAATTGAACCATATTATTTTTTTAAAGTAAGCTATCCATATACATAGACCATGTTAAAAATAGCAGTTTTATCGATGCATATACAATCGATTCTTGGATATAAATATTCTTATAAATAAATTCGAAATGCATTCGATTTATTTTAGTATCTCGCTTAAAATATGCGCTTATATATATATATATATATATATATATATATATGTATGTATGTATAATAGATTATGGTATTCATATTCTATATATTTAGGTGTGTGTGTGTGTGTGTGTGTGTTACATTGGTTTCTTCAATTGGTCAGATTAATAGTCCAGAATTATTTACAGTTCGGCAACCGCGCGAAAGTAAATTCATTAATTCCAGATATTGCACTACGCATTTCAAAGTTTCGTGAAACTTTTGAGAGTGAGGCACGAAAATAGCGACAGCCGCCCTTGATTTATTTTCGTGTTATTAGAACATTAGGAATGACTGCTCGCAGTATCAGAAATGAGCCAAGGTCTATGATTACAATTAAATCATCATATATCACTTTAATTAAAGAGCTTTGTAAAATCGTTTTAATTTTAAAATAAAGATTATATGCTTATAAAATTTTACTGTAACTTTTCTATTATAACATTAAAAAAATAATTTTGAAAATATGGCTTGCTTTAAGATGGTTTGCACATTCTTTAATTATACGAAGATAAATAATTGATAAAAGATTAATGTGTAATTAAATAATTTGAGACTGATCAATCGTTTGTACACATACTTGTTTGTCATCAGTCTTGTTTATGTACACATTTTAAATTGGACGTGTTTAATCTTATAATATAATTTGTCTTTGAATTTAATTAGATATAATTTTTTGAGATGCAATCTTTTTTTTATATAGATTTTCTTGCAACATTAACGGAATTTCCATAGTAATAAATTCTATAGTATTTGACATAAGATATGCTATTATTTAATTTTGATTGATCATACATTGTACGAAACGATTGAGCTATTTTCTAAGTTTTAAACGAACTTATTTTAGATACATTTATGCAAACTCGCGAATTATACGAGGGACTACTGTCACTGGCAATCTTCCATTTTTTAAGTTGTTTTTTCACGAATAACCTAATCTTTTTTGCTCTATTTTGCTCGACTTGTAGTTAACCATCAAAGGCAAACGAGCAATTGGCCTATTAAATAAAGTTCGTTGAGCGAAGTAATTTCGTATAGCACTGCATCCTCACGTTTAATATTCAGGCGTAATGAACTTTTCGATCACTTGCAGATAAAAACCTGCAAATTCCTGAGCAGTTTTTAATTGCGAAGCAAATATACACCTTTTAATTTAATCTTTAATTTTAATCTTTTAGCTTTAATATTTTTACATCATCTTATTTTGGGGACTTGTGTATAATATTATAACATTTGGAATAAAGTGTTATTTCATTGAACTTATGAAAATAAATTGTCTTTTCGAATTTTAAGATTTTTTTCTAATAATAATTTATATATTATTTATATAGAATGCACTTTTTTTATCTAATTTTTTTTAATTTAAGCAATTTATCTTTTATTTAAAATAAATAGAATATTTATAAATAGAATAGTTTTCGTATTATAAATGATAAATTAATTAATTGCAATTAAGTCTTCTTAAAATTTTTTTGTTTGGATTTTATCTTCTTAAATAAATTTGAGATTTAATTACAAATTTAATGTTAGAAATTTTAAAAATTTTGATTTGTTTATATCATAATCACTTTCTTCAGAATTTTAATTAAAAAAATTTAATAAAGAAAAGTATAATAACGCGCCGATATAGAAAACATTTAAATAGTATGAAAATTAGAAATCTCATGCATGAAAATTCCTGCAAAATCCAACCAAATCCATCCTCTGATTTCTGCTTTTTTTTATCATTGCATGTCGCAATTACCTAATCGTCGTGTCTAAAAACGGCGTATGCACGCAGAGGCGCGTTGCAGGTATGCATATATGTATATATCGTGTACCTTGAAAAGTATTTGGTTCAAGGGCGTTAAGATCTAAGTTTGTAACTGTATCGCAAAAGAATTCCAAGGGATATAAAAGCTGAACTAGGAAGCATCTACTTCCGCGATTACGTTCCGAATATACTACATAACGTTTTTCATCGGAGTTGATGACCTTTCGCGTCGAATCTAATCGATTGTTCGCGATGCATCGCACGTGAACGCTCGTGCAAAAACGAAGGAATGACGTAAAGATTCTGACGTGTAGGTCGGAGTACTTACAATTAGTCTTGGATTGTAGTAGTAGTTCATGTATTATTAAGAATATGATCGATGATCATTCATCTGTGAAATCGAAGGAAATGTAATTAACTTTACCTGTACAAGTAAATGCGGCCCGGTACCGTTCTCATTTAATCTGAACACAAAAGGGCCTTCCATGCATTTTACTGCCATCCCGAAACATCATATTTTTTAATAATAAGTACAATAAATCTCTCTTCGGCTGAATCACATTGATGTCAACTACATTTCATAGAAATATATTAACGACATGTGGTCTAAAAAAAGATTAAATTAATTAGTTAAATAATTAAATATATATATATATAATATTAAATATATATAAAAGATTTATAATTACATTTTTTTCATCTTTCGATAAAAAAATGTAATTATAAATCTTTTTTCACTACAAAACACAAAAGTAAAAATTACTTAAATATCGATGAAAGTTTATTAATAATTTTTATTATTAATAAATGTAATTTCACTAATTGTAAGTAGCGTGAAACAGATAAACATAGATATTTTATGAGTGCAGATTTAAATTTCCTGGACAAAAATAGCAAAATAACTAATTATAGTTAGATTTTTCTTTAATACTTACAAATAATGGACGAAATTAGTTTTAAAAAAACAAATAATGTAGAGATAATTGATTGATATGAATTACGTGATAAAGTCATAATAATGTATTTCTTGATATGTGACATCTGCATGTCAATGCACATTATGCGAGTGCAACTCAATATCAGGGACATGTTTGTTTTGAAACATAAAGTGTGCGTAAAGTCATGAATGAAGCTGTGTGTCTCGTATTTGATTCTCCATATTATAATATATATAGTAAAGAAAATAGAAGATACATATACATTTACCTTTTTGTAAATAATATACATCTATTGATAATACTAATTCTTAGAATGTTATCTGTAAATAAATAAATAAATATATATATATATATATATATATATATATATATATATGCCACTATAGCTCTAAAGTTTACATAGAGTTATAGAAATTAATCATTTTAAATGTTAAACATATTTAAAATATATATAATTTATTTAAATGTTTATATATACATATAAACATTCAAATAAATTATAGATCTTAAATATCTTTAACATATAAAATGATTAATTTCTACATAATAAAATATACATCTAAAACAAATTTATATAGGAAGAGAGAGATAGAGAGAGAAAGTTAGAGAGAGAACTGCAAAAATTATGAATGAAAATATCTCTCTCATTATATAAAAAAAATTATAATCTCATTTATTAATTCTAAAAAAGACTTACGAAGGCAGTCGTAATCGGCATAAATATTAAATTCGCTGATAATTGTATTGCCATTTCGATTCGGCGAATCGAGAGTCATCTGTAGTTTCGATACATCGAAGCTTTTCGTTCGCGATGGTTTTCGTTAAGATAACGGGTGTAGACAAGGCGGGATTTCGACTCTCACTGATGCGCGACCACGTTCCAGTCTACGCAATCGCTTTCGACTGGTTCTCAGGTGCGCAGGTTACCTGTGGGTCGCTTGCAGCTTTTATGCGCTTTCCGCCGCGATTGCCGCAAAGGTCGGCAAGGACGGCGGAAGAGAGTGCCGGATAGTAGGCGGTCAGAAACAGCTTATTGGGGAAAGATCCGAGAGACTTTAGATAATTCGAATTTATGGAAGGTTATTAGAAGCACGCGACGCGCATTATTGTTTTTCTCTAACTAGAAATGGCAGCTAATAACTTTAGACCTCGAATTGATATGATACATTTATATCAGAATAATGCAGTATAATTATATTATATTAATATTATAATTCTTTCTCTTATATTCTTAAAATTGTTAACGTCTCAATTTATAGCTTTAAAATTTAAAGTGAAGTAAATATAATGTAATAAAATATCAAATAACATAATTATATATATTACAATTAGAGAAATAAAATATTTTTAAAAAAATATTTAACTTTTCAAAATTAAAAATGCGTGAAATGATTATGATTAACACATGTCTTTTTAATTAATTTAATATCTATAAGAATTATTAATTCACCACTGCACCACTTATATATCAACGTTTTAATAAAGTTTGAAGCTTGCGAACGTGACATTGAATCTTTCTCTAGCAACTGCGTGCTTTTAAATACCGACGCGACGCACTTTTAATGGGGGATAATTATAATTGATATTTATGATGCTTCAACTGAGAGAGAAGACATTTGTCAGATATCACGCGATGATAGATATGTAGATACGAGAATAATTAGCATTCTTGAAAAAATGTTTAAGCTCCAGTAATTACGTCTAATTAGTATCGTTTGATTACCTTGATTTTGTAGAAATATTTTTACCACAGCAAAACGATATGAGGCATGCTTAACAATCATTAAGACTCATTTACGATTAACGAATGTGAGAAGAATGGAACGATTAAGGACAAAAAGGACAGAAAGGATAAATTAAGTGGTTGTATATAACAATGAAGACTAAGCGTATAGTATTTTAGAAAAAGACGAGTATAACGCTGATGCCGCAACGATTTGACGTCAAATGTCAAATGTCTCGCTTTATATTAAATTCGTCACTATATATTTTTTTTACTGTGAAGAATCCATACAAAAGAAGTAGTAGGATACACAGTAGGAATATTCAATATTATAGTTATAATTAAAAAGCAGATGAGTAGAGATAGAAAAAGAAAGAGAGAGAACTGTAGAAAAAATTTTAAATAAAATAAAGTTTTCATTTACGAAATGTGAAATTTGAAATTTTCTTAGGACTATATGTATTATTTTTCACACAGATTTTATTAATTTTATTTATATATCGCTTTTACATAAAATCCTTTTGCTTTTGTAAGAGATTCACTTTCCGAAAAAATTTCTTCAATACGCACAAATGAATAAATGTCTTATCAAAACGTATGACTGTCAGAAGAGTTGTTCTCTTTTAAAAATGTCTTTCAATAAAGATTTGGATTTGGTCTAAATGTCGTGAGTCAATTCTATTTTATTATTTAAGTATCTTGAATATCTAAAGAGACAGAATTTTTTTTCATATCTGTCTTCTTTGGAAGCGGCCAGGTACCGCAAGGCTATACTAATGACAAATCGATGAAACGTTACAGAGAGTGATTGCTTCTGTTAAATACTCAAATTAGTTTAGTCGTTTTCATCAAATATCGATATTCTGGTCGCGCATTGATCTTTTTTAATAAATAAATATAACGCTCAATATGGATATTTTTGCTTATTTGTCTCGAAATAAATTTTAAAATACAATGGATTCTTTTATTTATCGACGTATTTAATATCAGTTATAAATAACGTTTATAAATAATTAATGTTCTTATTACATTTTATCATGAACTATTTTACTGGAATTTTATTACACACCTCGATGTAACACGCGAATTTCCTATAAAGCTTGCTTTGACTGATAAGAGAACCTTGGGAACTCCTTTCATATAGTTTTGATAAGTCTCAGAGGTTTCGTACAATAATTCCAAACCTGAGTAGCAATTACATTTATTTTTAAAAATCCTTTTTTGACACGAACTTTATTCTTGATATATTATATGATATATTATATTCTTGATATATTATATGAAAGAGGCATCTTTTAAATTTTAATTTCAATATATAATTTTAAATATTAATATAGTTAGATCGAATTAATTATTATATTTAACAATTAATATTAGTTGATTTCTAAATATTTCAATGTTAACAGGATGGGGAAGAGAAAGGATAAATTTGAATGAATACACTTTATTTTATTTTATAAGCAACACATAACACGCATACAGAGGCTTGTGCGATTCTCGGTTGATAGTTGACCGAGTATCAGAACGTTGAAATTAGTTCTCGCCGTTACTTTTGTCAGTGATCGACGATTAATCGTTGAATATTACTCGCAAAATTGCAGGGAAAATCAAATCCCCCTGTACAATGTATTTTCTTTTCTTTTGCAAAATTATCGCGAACACAGCTCAAAACACATTTATGCGCTATATAATTATAAGATTATACTATATATTACAAGTAGATGAGTTCTGTCAAAATCTGTCGCTCAATGCTTTTCCTTTCTCTCTTTTTTTTGTTCATTCTCATTCGCAGAAACTATTACTATATAATATTACAAGCTCGCGCAGATGACACAAAAAATCGGTAACCTTTAAGAAATATAATATGGTAATTATCTTGTTTAAATTTTTAATTTCATAAAATGAAGCAACGACATATCGCCTTCGCGCATTCTCATTTTCTGAAAAAAGTTAATTAAAGCGAAAAACGTCTTCTTCTCTGGTTACAGATAATAGACAATTGATTACAGTATTAAATTAGACCTAAGAATTCAATTATTATTGTTTTCAAAAAGAAATCGTAAACTTAGATGTAAAATCCTAGATGATCTTCGAAGTTTAAAAAATTTATTTTCAGAAATATTAAGAAATTATTTTTCACTTCTTAAACGTTTCAGAAATTGAAAAGACATACTTTCAAAAATAGATGTGAATTTATATTTAAGAATTTCAATCATAGTTTTAAAGAATTTTTTTTTTATAAAAAATCGATATCGAAAATCAGTAATTAGAAATTAAGAGAGTCAATGAAATGCACGGCAGGTCGTTCCTACCGTGCGAATTTCAGCCTTTCGTTTTTTCAACTGACGAATCGATCGTCTGATTAAATGAAAGCCCGAATGCATGTTGAACCTGTTATCAGTCTCGGCTTTAATCGACCGATTCCAGGGTACGGCGGATGACTTATGATAAAGTTTGCATGCACTGAGAATATATATCTGCTCGTCGTCGATTTAGTAAAGCTATTAAATATCTTCGGTGAAAATACTCTTTAACAATCTACATGCATAATATAGGCTAACTCTCATAAATTAATAAGTATTATATGTTACTTTTTTTAATGTACATTTTTTTCGCCTATGAATTATGAACAATTTAACGCTATTAATAAATTATTCAAAACATATTTATAACATGATTTTAAGAACAAAATTTTAAGCATTTGACTAGCACATTTTTAAACATATTTTTTTTTTAATTTGTTGAGAGGATTTTTGATTTTCTATTATAACATTTTCCATTCATTAATAATAATTTTGAGAAATACATTGGAGATTAATCCTTTTATTCTATTAAAAAAATAATTTTATGATATTTAGTTATAATATTATTTATAATATAATAATATTAATTTATTTTATATATATATATATATATATATATACTATCAATTAAAATGATTTATAAGTAAATAGTATTTGATAATAATAAATTAAGTATATATTTGTTATTATCAAATTAAAACAAATTAAAAATATAATTTAATGACAACTATTTTGAAAATAGTGATAGTAAACTTTAATTATGTGTAAAAGGATTACATCTCTCATAAAAGAAATAGCAAACGCGAACGAATCAGCGAAGTGAAATTATTTGAATTTGTTTTAATTACTATCGCTAACCATCAAAGTTACCTATATTTCAATACAAATCTAATATATTTGTTATCATACGCAATTTTAATTAGTTGGAAATTATGTGATTATTTTTCTCTTTTTACATGCATTTATTCATCATTCATACTTTCCTTTCAATCTAATTTTCGAATCATTCATTTGTTCTCTCTCGATTCACATTCTCTTTGTTTCTCTCGTCACGGAGCATCGCCAACATAAATCATCGAGGAATGGAATAATATCCGAGACATTTGCTAACGGTTGCTGCATCTCGATGTACCTTGGAAGTACAAAATTATGCGATAGCTCACGTAATACTAATTGCTCGAGTGACCTTTGCGTGATTTCTGATCAGCAAACGACGACTTTACTGGCGGTGCATCCGTTATGTGTTGTTTCCTACCACGAATGACTTTACGAGGTATTTTACTAGCTTTGCAAGGATCGTTTAGATCTTCTGCTATTAAACAAGAACCGCAAAGTGCAAGGATATGTCATCAAATGTATTTAATTGCGCCGCTCACTTGCGATCGACGTCGATTTCACAATGCAATTCAAAATATCGATAGTCTCAAATAAAATCATAATGAAAACCAGACACATCTTTATAGACAATCATTAATTTTACAAAGCGCGAATGAATTTTTAGCGCAAAATAGATATTTATAGAATTATACATAACGACGAATGTCTTTCAAGGAATATTTGATTAAAAGAAATACCGTCTTCTGTGAATGTATGTTGTGTGCATGTGTGTTGTGTGCTTATAAATACAAAAAAAATAATAAATTAATAAACTTTATAAGTTGGAAACAGAAATTGTGTCTCCGTTGGTCTCTTTTAGGACTAAAATGATTATTGGTCTCCTGCGTCGCATTCCTAATTAACCTAGATAATAAATATTAATTATTAATTTTCTTGTAGCCGAACGACGCGAGGCAATTATAGTATCTGAAAATGTGTGCAGAATTAATTGTTTGTAGAATTAATCAGGGTGATTGGTTGATACAGGAAAAAATAAAATTATGATATTATTTCATATTAATAATATATTCGCTATTTTTTTAAAGATATTTATCTTCATTATGTTTATCTTTCTGAATGATGTAAATATCATTTATGCGATATCTATCCTTATAAATAATTATCACGTCTAACAATATTACAATTAATTATCAGATTTAACGATAAATTTTTTTTTTCAATATCACCCTAATTGATCCTGTATTTTCGTAACTTTTCCTCGCGGATCTCACAAAGGGTTAGTGAAATGAATTCGGTCAAGACACAAAAAAGGAAAGTAATCACGATAAAATAATTTGTGCGTTAACAGAATACGCTTCTTATTTTTGTTAGATTCCCTCTTCATTATTTTGCTTTTCCTGTTCTTCTCTCATCATCCCATCGATTATTTGCGATGGTCGAGAGCTTGCAATCTTAACGCGCATGATTTTTGCAGAACGGGCGACCACCTTTCGCATAAAAGCTTTGACCCTCAAGATTCTTCTTGCACATCTAATAAATTAATAAAAACATATACATTTAATACATATTTAAAATATGTTAAAATGATATTAAAATGATAATAAAATGATAATATAAAAATCGTAAAAAAATTATATACTGCTTTTTTGCACTAGTAGTTTTCAACGCATTAGAAAGTTGACAAAAATGAAATAGAATAAAATAAAAAATAATAAAAATCTTGATAGATAAAGTTTCTAAATTATTTCATACCGTGCAATTGAAGCACTGGCTGTGGTAATTATTGTTTAGGGCCTCCACCCAACGATCGCCAGCTTCGACTGGGAATCCACATGCGAAGCATTTCGTGGTAAACAATTCATTCCAATCTATGGTATAGAAAAATGATTAATTAATGCTCTTTATATTTAAGCTCTAATATTTTTAATTTTCATGTTTAATTAAACAATGCAATAAATAAAAATTACGAAAAAATTTGAAAAAATATATCGAATTTATCAGGAATTTATTATTAACTCATAATTATTCTGATAAAAAACTTTAAAATAAATTATTTTAAATTTATGTATTAATAATAATGATTATACTATTTATGACAAGAGAGATACATAATTAATTTATATTGGATAATTATCTTTCTTACGATTAATTAATAATTAAAAATACTAACCAGCTTCGCAATAGGGCAATCCTTCTTCCAAAAAGAATGGATTGTTGCCAAAAAGTTTGCCGCAATAAGTGCAACTGAAGCATTCAGGATGGAAGTGCTTTCCAATTGCGTTTAAACAATCCTAAACATTAAATGCAGAACTCGTTAATGAATCATAGTTGCACAATCGTGCGTGTTATTGATAATAAATAAGTCACGATATATTTACCCCCTTGATCTTGTTGTTGCATTTGTTGCATGTGGGCGCGATAAATTTCTCGAAACAATATTCGCAGTAAAGTTGTCCTTTTTCTTCGACAAAGCCGATGTCTTGAAGAGGACGACGACATTGAGCGTTAACGCAGACAAAGTGGTCAGGACACCAGATTTGACCCAAAGCACTTATGAAGGGTCCTCTATGATTACATAATAATTAATACACTAATTAATATAAAATTAATTAATTTTTATGTAAAATTAAATTAAAATTGAATTTCATAATTATCATAAGAAAATATTATATAAATATCATTTTCTTACAATTAATTACGAGCAAAGCATAATCAGCTAATATTTTATAAAGCTAATATTTTACAATAACAATTAAGAAAAGGTTATATTGTATTTTTCAAAATATCAGTGTTAATGTTAATTTGCGCGTAAACTAAGCTTTTCATACGAACCTTATGCAATCTTTGTTGCCTTTATAGCACACTGGCTTTAAGGTGATGCCGTTGTGATTACTTGACTTGTGATTAGTATTATCTTCGTTAGCTGTCAACAACGTGCAACGGAAATCAATTGTTAATCAAATTGCAGTTAGCTTATTATAGTACAAACAATAAACTCTCGTATATCACTCGGCAAAAATGTAAATTTTCAAGCGTTTTAAATGTGACAAAAAATTATTTTCTTGCATAAACTTAAGTGTATATATATATATATATATATATATATATATATATATATATTTAATATACACATTTATATATACACATTTATATATACACATTTATATATATACAATATAAATTATTAAAATGCTTTCGTAATTATTATAAATTCAAATCACAGAGTTTACAATATATCTGAAAATCTAAAATTCTACTTTATAAAATTAAATCAGAAAAAAAATTTTGGGAATATTGCATTCAACAAATTTTCTGTAATTATATTTTGTTATATTTAACGAATTTTTTAATTACATCATTTAAAGTGATCCACAATTAAATATAATTCAGCACTTAGAAATCTGCATAAATCTATGAAACACCAATTTAAACATATTAACGGCAGTGCTAAAAAAATATGCGGGCATATTAATATTTCAAATAAATTCTCCGGTCAATTTAAAATTGTTACGAAAAGGTTCTTCGGCAACAACAAAAGCAGCATCTAAAAAAGTAGGAAGAAGTACAAACACACGCACAAACGCATATCAATGCGGAAACGAATATGAAGGGAAAAATTATTGGAAGCAAAACAGAATCAATACGTCCAGTGAAGAACAACAACGAAAATAGCAGGCATCATAATCATCGATCTGGACGATCATAGTCCCATGTACCTGACGTATGAACTGCAGTGAGCGCACAGTGGTACACGCGATCCTGCTCCGACAGCCTGATTCAGAATGCCACGTCCGCGTTTGGGCGCGCTGCTACCGGCGAATGATCCGCTTTTGGAGCTCGCGCCGCCAAGGCCGCCGACTCCGGTACCTAGATCCGGATGGGACGACAAATTTGGTGGGTCTACTAAATTCTGGGTCTTACTAAGAGGATCACAATGGATCTGGTCTTGGTAGTGATTCCGGTTATTTTGACAGTGATTGCCGGATTCGCAGTGAGTCTCACGGTAGCTTTGCGTGTGGCAGTAAGTGCTCTCGTTATAATTTCGAGCCTGAGGTAGCTGATTTTGCACTGGGGACCCGATCGGCTTATAAAGCTGTATTACCGGCACATTTTGTTGGCCGTTCTTGGCGGTCAATCGCGCAAGTTGACCACTCAGGTTAGTACGAGGCTTGAAGCTCGGAGCAGAATATTGAGGAGCCGGCGCAGGAGTTTCGTCATAAGGAAGCGGGATTTGAGGAAAGGGAAGATTCGTCCTCGACTGATTCGGACCAGGCTTCTTGCAAGGTGCCACACAGACAGAACCGTCGGTGCAAGGAGTCACACAGATATCCGAATCAGGACAACCGGAAATATTAAAATCGCAGCCTGATTCGCGACCGCAAGTGCCCGAAGGTTGACCGCAGGTGCCGGATTGCATACCGAAACAAGGCGACACACACACTCCCGATCGATCTTTCGTAGGCGTCACGTAAACACCGGATTTAGGACAAGTGATTTGAGAACCTTCGCAGGGTACAACGCCAGCCTTAGTACCACGATCCGAATGCGCTTTGCAAGGTAGAACAGTCATCCCAGTCTTTGCACAAGATTTCGAGGAAGGAGTCTCATATTGTACGTGGCGTACTTCTGTCGAACTGCTGTACGTCGGTTGTCTATTCGACACCGAATCGGTTTGCGATATCATAGGACATATCAAGGTCGGTTTTGTGTGACTCACTTTGCCGATGGCGCAAATGCTTGGTTTCGTACTTTGCGATACCGGTGGCAACACATCTTTTCGCTTACACTTCTCGTAATCCTCGACTACCTGAAGCGCTCTTTTTACATGAGTTGCGGTGCTTTGTTGCTCGCTGGTTTCGTCGCTTGTCATACATCGCGTTTCTTGGAACTGAGCGTAGAGTGCGTCTGTCGGACCTCCATCAAGACTGCTTGTTTCCTTCTCATCGTAATTCACGGTCCTCGAAGCGGAGTATTCCTGCTTCCTGTGCCCGCTGTCGGTATCTTCCTCCACGTGATAAGAGATGGTCTTGCGCGATGGAAAATGAACAGATCCACGTTTCGACGGCGGTGGATCCTCTCGGATCCTTGGAGCTTGAGCTTTCACATAACAAGCCGGCGGCGGGGGCGGTCCTTGAGCGGGTGATTTAGATCTTCCAGGCGTCGGAGTAGGTGTTCTGCTAGGAACGAACGGCTGAGCTTCCACCGGTTCCTTCTTCATTCCTATTAGATTTCGCTGATAGACCGGTATAGCATCCGGTTTCTTCAGACCAGCTGTTAACGATTTTGGTGTTCCTGGTCGAGATCTCGTAGCAGGCGAAGCCGAAGAATCTCTTAGACGATGATCGGGCGGCGGAATAGGCAAAGGTCGTGGTCCGGATTCTTTAACTTTTTTCTTGATACACACTTGCTCTCGTGCGTAAGATTCCTTCGTTGTGCTTGCTTTGCCATACAGAATATCCAACGGCGGGCAATAATCGCCATTTTGAACTTGAAGACTCGGCGTCTGCGATCTATTGGCGATCTGCTGATCTTCCGGCCCGATTTCGCGACTCAAAGGAGTATAAGATCGTTCGGGTGCTATTGTCAATGCTTGCTGAAATGGCGAGATTGATCGAATCTCTTTTTTAGGCGGTGGTTTAGGTCGACATCTATGATCTAGATAAATAGTTTCCTCGGTGTAGAGCTCCTTTACACTAGAAGTGGCGTTCAATGGTGTGTAAGATCGATCAGGCGCCGTCGTCAGAGCGTTTACCATCTCAGATTTCCATTCTTTCGGTGTGGAATTTTTCACAGATGTGTCTGATAAAGGTTTCGGTCCTGTTTCCGTTTCCTTTAAGAATTGCACTTTTTTCTTGCATGTCTCCATGGTCTCCTGAGGCTGCTGACTGTACCTTGCAACGATATTCCGTCTCTCTGGCGCTTGTTGATCTCGAAGACTCTGATGTACTTCCACTTGTTCCCGCAAACTTTTTCTACGCTCATCTTCTATGGGTCTTTTTCTTCTTATACGTTCCTCGACCAATACTTCCTCGGTAATCTCTTCGTATGTTTCTTTCATGATCTTGTTACGTCCCGGAGTGGATCCTTCCGATTCTGTAATTCGTTCCTCTCGTACGACAGTTCTGCCCAGCGGTTGTTCTCGCACTTCCGCGACCTCTACATCTTCTTCATTGAAAGTCACATGCTTTTTAGCCTTTTCCTCTTCTTCTTGTTTTTTTCTCTCTTCTTCCTCTTGACGTCTTCGCTCTTCCTCCTCACGCTTTTTCTTTTCTTCCTCTTCCTTTCTTCGTTCTTCTTCTTCCTCTTCTTTTTTTCTCTCTTCTTCTTCTTGCTTGGCTTTTTCCAACATCTGTTGAGCGTCGATGGTTGATGTAATCATTTCGGCGGATTCTTCAATAGTTCGCTCTTCCGCGTTCTCTATCTCTCGATTAATATGCGTCTCGGTTCTTCTTGCGAAACATTGTGACTCTGTCGCGTTATCCACTTCTTCTATCGTATTAGATCTCTTCGGTGAAGATACTCTTTCCATGGTTTTTTCGAAAGTCGCCGACTGCTTCACGTGCATACCGTCCACTGTCTCTTCAGCTGTTTCGGTGATGAGGTCGTGTTCGCCCTGAATTCCTTTCGAAATTTCTGCATCATCTGTTTCATCTCTCAAATCGGTAACCTCGGTATCGACTTCCTTTACTATTTCCGTTGGTTCCTGCTTAGGTATTGGCAAGGGTGGTTTCGGGCATATTATTTGTTCCCGTCGACAAATTTCCGCTCTATAAGCTCGCTGTTCTTCTCGATGTTCCCTGCCGCCTGATATAGATTCTTGATGACAGATTTCCCGTTGCATAAATTTTTTGCAAACCTGTCCTGCAGGTTGTTCCCGCTGTGCTATATAACTTTGCTGGTAGAGATTGGTACCACCGCCGCTGACGGTCGCAGTCCACGGTTTAGGAATCGGTTGAACGATTCTGGTAGGCGTCAACGATCTCCGGACACTATCGGTCGAACTTGGTCTCGACGTCGTCACATCCGCTCGAGAGCTTCTGCTGGTATCCACCAATTCGACACGTTGATATATTGGTTGTCTAGGACAACTCACTCGATCCATCGCGTCAGTTTCGTATAGATGACCGTATTCTACCGACGCTCTTTCAATCTCTCGATCCAAGCTTTTATTTCGATATCTTTCCGTTCTACAGTTCAAAGCTCGCTCGCAAGCCTCAATACTAGCACGTTTTTCCTTGATCGCCTGATGACACTTTCTGTCGAGGACGGAATTTGGATTGATATAGAGGGGACTAGCAGTAGGATATGTAATATCTTCGATAGATTTTGGGGGTGGCCAAATAAGATTCCGACGGGATTTTACAAAACTGGAACGAGAGAACTGGTCTGTCGTACTATCCGCGATCTCGTAATAGCAGGATCTTTCGTAAGTTTCACTGGGGATTTCTGAAGTAGCAAATAGGGGGGAATATGGACGACAGAGATGGAGGATTAATTCGGAAATATAGGTGAGTAAAAACAGATGTACATGACACAAAAAGTGCATGGTACATGCATTCGTGAGGATAAGTAACGGATTAGATTCATCGTGGCACGTTAGATAGAACAAACAAAACAAAAAAAAACAAAGAAATCTGCCGTGAGTAAAAAGCACGAAATCGTGCGCGCCCGTGGTCTCTTCGACTTTTCTGCCAAATCTGTGAAATTGTGAATTTTAAAAATGCAAATATGATTTAACTTGCCAAATAATTTTCAAATAATACTCAATAATATATACATAAATAAAAATACTTGTTTATGTTTAAATATGTTTAATATATATTACGATACCGATAGTGTTTAAATATGTTTAATATATATATTAAACATATTTATTATACATGTTTATATACCTTAAAAATTTCATTTTAATCTGGCTATTTTCGGTGGAAGGAAACCACGAGCACAGCTCGATGCTAAATTAAAAAAAAGAAGCGATATTATAAAATAAGGTATTATAAAATTCAATCTTCGAAAAAATCTTTAAGGGTTTTCAGTCATTAGTGTCGAAATCAGTAATTTGTAATTTCTTGATAGTCACTTGACACTTGAAAATAGAGCAGCATGAAAGCTGCGAGCCTGCAAGTGTTAAATATCAATTTTAAATCAATCACAAGTAGCAAAAAGATTCCGCGAAGATAATGCGCATTAGCATCGGTATTTCTTGAATGCATTTTAAGGGCATCAATGTGAGGCGAAGAAGAAAAACGTTATTAAGAATCAATTCGCGTGATCGAGTATTGAAGAACTAATGACACAATAAAAATATCAACGACGTACACTTGTTTAACGAAGAATGTGTACTTTATTTCGCATCAATAGTTATTCATCCAATACTCTGAATTGAAGACATTATGAATTGTCATCAAGTTTAATGATATTTTTACAATAGCTATTTTAAAAATATCATAATATGTGCTGATTCACAATTTCCTTTGTTGTGTTTCAGAAAAGATAAAACGAAAATAATTTCGAGTATATAAAAGAGCATTCATTGCAACGACAAACTAATCAATACATATTAAATAGTTAAAGAAAATTCTTTTCTTTCTCATTCCTAATTATTAAAAAACATTAAAAACTTTCCGTAAGATTTAAAAGAAAAATTGTGAGCAGCAAAATCATTTTTTACAGCCTGACACTTTTATCATCTGGATTGTGTTTGCGTTGCCAGCATGACGACGACGACGGCGGCATCGAGAGCTATTGATTCATGCGAATGTGAGGGAGAAGGGTCTAGGTTTCGGGTTGAAAGACGGACCGGCTGAAAAAAGATAAAAGAAAGATTATGCACGGGAAAAAAGGTATGATAATGCATGACGAAACCTTATAAAGGAATGTGTGGCGATTGATTATTTTGCAAATTTGTTACTGCTAATAAAAAAATATTATATTCTTAATGATCTTAACATTTTCTCAAATATAATAAAACAAAAATTATTTTGATAAGATTAATAATACAAAATAAATGTCTTTCTCTTTCTTAGAAAAATAAATTGTAAATTTTTTTATTTACAATAATGTGAAAAGAATGTTTTAAAAAGAAAGCAGAAGAATTATATATATATAAATATTGTATAAAAATGGAAAATTTATAAAAAGAGTTTTTAGCATTTTCTTGTCATGCCTATAAATATTATGATTAAATATTAAATCATTAATTTTAATTTAAATACTTTAACTTTCTAATTTAAATTTTTGTTTTCATGTTGTGAATTTAAAATAATTAAAGTATAACTATCTAGAACAATGTTTCAAATACATTATGAAAATTTATAAAATGTAAAAATAAAAGGGAATTAAAGTTCGGAAGGTCGCTACAAACTGTCATAGCTCTCAGAGTTCGCCGTCGTCGTCAAGATAACGACGAACGATAAGGAGCCGAAGAATTTTCCGATGAATTTTCCATTAAATTTAGGAGAGAACGTCCCATTTTTACTTTCTAGTTGAAGAGATATTATGATACGAACCACCAAGAACCAACGATTGATCGATCGATTGATATACGAGCTGCGTGCAAAGGAGAAAGAGTGATATAAAATGTGAGGAGGTAAGCCAAGGGAGGCGTATCAGCCAAAGCTCGAAACTCGGTCAACCGGCGGCTCTAATCTATTCGTCGTACCTCTGAAAGGCGAACTTTTTGGCTTTGGCAGGGTAGAGTATCGACCTATTTACAAGAATCGAAAGCAGAGTTAGGCTAAGGACGCACGGGACGAGATCGTGATTAATTTGGACCGATTACAAGATCACTCCTTTGAATTTTTCAAATAAAAACGATGCAAATTTTTCAAATAAAAACGGTATTAAAAAAGAAATAGAGGAAGGCTGTCTTTTTTTCTACTCATTATTGCATGCGATTTTAATTTATCGCAAGAATTGAGGACTTTATTAAAACTATTTAAATATCTTTAAAAAGATATTTTTAAATATCTTGGATATTTCATCATATTTGCTTATAATTTCTGTTTTTGTACTTGTACAAATGTTTGCATGTAATGTTATGTAATCCAAATAGATTTACATGTATGTATATAGATTTACATAGATGTTGTGTTGTGATTTTGATATTATCTAATATCAATTTCATATGATAAATAAATTTTCATCACTCTCGAGCCCTTGCAAATTTTTAAAATTTGTCGGACTTTTTACATTAATGGTAAAATTAATTACCTGTCACAGTCTGGCTCTGAGGACGTGGCAAAGTACTGCTACCGGTATTTGATGTTGGAGTCGGTGACAGATTTGATGAAAAACCACTCGATCCACCAAAAGGCTTAGGACCAATAAAACTGTTGCTCGTTGGTGCCTATGGATTCACAAGTATCTTCTTAATTATATTCATTATAATATATTATATTCATATAATATATTCATTATAATATATTTTGATGTAATTTTTATACGAGAAGTGGAACTTTTCATTATGTGATATTTTTAAAGTGACATTTTAATAATTTATTAAATCAGGAAGAAAACTATATTATCCTTTTTTATTTTTCTGATGAGAAATGAAGTAAAGTTATATTCATACAATATTAATAGATTGTAAAAGTTTTTCAATAACAAATAATGGAATGAAACGAGATTTGCCTTGATACCGCAAAATATTAATATAAAAATACAATAATTAATCAATGATCCATATCGCACAAAGTCCTAAGAAACATACCTTCCCCTTATGTTTAAAAATATTATCTTTCATAGAAAAATCACATTCAAACAATTGCATACATTTTAATTATTAATTATTATAACATCTTTGAGAAAAAGTAATTGTCTCCCACATAATATAATGATAATTCTATAAAGTATTCCTTAAATTTTTTTATTTATTTAGAACCATAAAATTGTATAAAAAAATATCCGTATATATATTATTAGTTTTTAAAAATTACTATTTTTCTAAAAATAAAATATATTTGTTCTCTCGATTTTTAACAAATTAAATCAAATTAAAATATATATTCTAAATTAATAACTATTATAAAATTTTATTACTTTTTAAATATACATATTAACTTATGTGTTTGTGTGGGAATTTAAATTTAAATAAATTGAGATATTCCCCATTATTATATACACATACGCACGTGCATGCAGAAAAAGAAGAGAACACTTTAGCAATTACAAATTTTAACTTTTCATGCTTTTATGATATGGAAAAAAGATACACTATGATCGGGATATAAAAAAACTTCAAGATTAATAACTTCCAATCACACAAGCAGAACATCACTTTAAAGTTTATCTTCAGTTTAATTTTCAATAATTATAATTCGAATTAATCTCGCATTACATCAAGGCAACAACAGTTTCGTACAATTGGTTTTACGGAATCTTGTCGCGAGACACTGATGATTTTGAAAGACGAGGAGTTCGAGAAGGTTGATGGGAGCGTTATGAACTAGGACTCGTACTAAGACTTTACCTGAACTAATCGTAAGCTGGGTGGATCAACGGGCGAAGTGCCAGGACGGGCGGTAGACTGCAATGCGATAAAACGATACATCGATGTCACGTGGGATGAATAATTAAAAAGGATAGGACGAAGAGAGGATGAAAAGAGATGAAAGAACATCATTAGGTACACTCCCGATTACGACAGACTAATTAGTCATAAGATCGAAATAATCGGTCGCGAGTTAAAGATTAACATAACTGGGTGATCAAATTAGAGTAGTCACCGAGGAAGTTGATATTGGCAAGGACATTTCGGTGACTAATTAATCGGTTTCGTAACCAACATCTGATTCAGTAAACAATTTTTATATAAACATTAATATATCAATTATTTAAAAAATGAATCGATACGTTTTTCGTTACACATCTCTGATATAAAAATTGACAATGAATGAACATTGAAAATTCAATTGACATTGAATGAACAATTATTGTTTCTAAATTTTATGCTATGATAGGCAATATTTTGTATTATACAAAGTTGGCAGACAATATTGATATTTTTAAATAAAATATCAATCAGTTTTATTTGATGATTGTCACAGAATGTAGTCTTATGTAAGATAGTTATGATGAAAGGATGTTAGAGGTACTTTAGCAAGAGTAAATACATAGATCGAGTTTTCGAGCACGTTGCCAACCTCTGTGCCACCTGTTTGGATGGTGATTGTGCTTGTAAACGTTTTTGATTCGCCGTTGCATTCGCCATTTCTGACACATTCATTCATATTCGAGATCCATTGCCATGTATATTGAGATCCGGAATCGGGACTCGTACGATTGCACGTCTGGAAAAGCGATTAGTGCCAAGCAAAGACCACACTTGTTAAATTCTCAAAATAAACATGTTTTTTCGTCGTTTAAAATAGATCAATTGCGACGCAATAAGATACGCAATTATCATAAAATTAAATTTATTAAAAATTATGTAATTCAATAATTTATTAAATATAACAAATTAATTATTTTATTAAAAACTTTAAGTTTAATTAATTACTATTTATTTTTATCAAATTTGTAGAAAAATGCTAAAAGTAAATGTGATTTTAATGTTTGAAGTATTTGATATATATATATATATATATATATATATATATATATATTAAATATTCTAGCATACACATATATCCTTTAATTTAATTAATCATAGAAATAAATATATATAATAGTTTTTTTACACAAATATAATAATTACAAATATAACAATTACTTTAATAATAGATAAGTAATTTAAATTTTTGAGCGAGAGATGAAAATAAGAGAGAGAGATTATTATGATGAATTATACATTGACTTTTTAACGAATTCGAAATATTATAAGAACATAACATTTTTGCATTACATGTTCATTGTTTTTTCAAGATAATTTGAAAAAGAACTCGTGAAAAATTGCGTGAAAAATTTTAACCTTCGCTCGACTCGTGGTTATAAAAAGCGCCGTGAAATTACGCGCGAGTGTAGCAAAGCCACACGCTCAATACAAAATACTCGCTTCATAAGCCATACCAAAACAGGCGAGAAAATGCTTGCGCGAAAAAATTCGCCCGTGATCATGCCTCGTAAAGAGAATTAAATTATGATGAAGCAACTTACCGAGAATGGCTGAGGCGACGATCCATGATTGCTGAGAGGTGGCGATAAAGGTGCACTCGCCAATGCTGCGCTAATAGTGCTAGCTGGTGCTTTGCCACCTCTATCAAATAAGCAAAACATAATTTATTACTTATTTCTTTCTTTTAGTTATTAAAGTTTGTCTTTTTGCTTAAGTATTTAAATTAATTTTTTTATTTTATTTATATTCTATTTCTTTTATAAAAAAAACTATTATTAAAAACTATTATTTTATCTTTATATTTTTATTTTATATAAAATTGTATCGTGTATACTTTTCAAGTATGCAGTACTTAAGTAAGTGTATTGTATTGCTTACGGTGGTATAGTGAGAGGTACGAGACCAGCTGGTGCGTTTTGCCTAGCGACGAGTTTTGCGTGAATGTCGCAGTATAATTTATTATTGATATTGTAATAACCAACATTCTTCAAAGATGTGCCGCAAGTCGAGCACTTGAAACATTCTACATGCAGGTTTTTATCCTTGATCCTGACGAAGACCCCTCTAAGGAAAAATAAACAGATTAATAACGCGATCGTTTTCTATTTTATTACGGTATTTTATCTTCTTTAATAACAATATAACAATATAACAACAATAAAGGTGAAATAATGACGAATCGGATGTGCCACGAGTTTTGTATCTTATTACTATTCACTCGAGTTTAAAAAGAGAGGAAGATAGAGGAAACTCGATACCTCGACGAAGGAGGCCGAAAATAACTGTCTATATTATGATCTCCATGAAAATTATGTTCGACGAATGAGAACGATAAAACGAGTAAAGCTACAAAGAATATGTTTAAAATTGATCTTTGTAGTAAAATGAATATTTTTAATATTAATAAGAATAATTAATTCTTCAGAATTAATTATTTAATATAAATTAATTCTAAAAGATGTATGTAGATATTTTAGTGTAGTGTATTAAAGTGTAGTGTAAAAAGTTGTAATAGTAATGTGTCTAATAATGTCTTCCTTTGTAATAATTAAGAAAATTGTTGTAATTGAAAATTAAGAAATTGTTTTGCCTTAAAAAACAAACACATTTTTGACATAATTTTTATGATATTTATGGAAAAAATTAAATATAGTTTTAGATATCCTTATCGAGAGATTCTAAAATATCATAAGTTTTAAGAATAAAAAAATTATTTGCTTTTCACTGTTCGAATGTAAAGGAACAGAAAAATATTATAAAAATACTTCACTTATATATAAAAAGACGACAAAATAAAAATGCACAAAAATGTTTACAACATCGAAAGCATTTTTTACGTTATTACAATTATTCAGTGTGCTGTAAATGCGTTGAAAAGGTGCTATTAAGAGTGCAGAGAGAAAGAGACATTTAGATAGGGCTGCAAGCTACGAGAGAATGAGAATTTTCGTCTCATTTATAGATATGATTTCCAGTAGGTTGTGAGTTGTAAGCTTGAATGACCACAAATAATCGAAATTCGTCCTGACACAACAACGATAAAAATGCATAACAATCGATGTATTCGCTTTTCCTGAAGAAGCGATGTTGACGAAAGGAAACGGCAGAGAAAGGCGCACTCCGAATCTATTAAAGGAAAAATGTGCACTTTTTTCAATCTCATTTTATAATTTTTCTTCTATTTTTTTCAATCGTATTTATAGCGGGCGTTTAAATACCATTTATTTTTCTATTTTATTTAAACGAGAATTATATACATAAAACAAAATACATACATATGTATATTAAATACATACATATGTATATGACACATATATAATGAAACTTTTTGTATATTTTTATCAATAATTTTATCTAATTTTCATTATTAGAACGAAAGAGAGAAACCGAGAGAGAAATACGAAGTGTACACTTTTTTTAGAATCGGAGTTTTTTCAGATGATACCAGCGTACAATAATCGAGCAATTCAAAACGGCGTTGATTTTGGAAATTTTTGACGATTGTGAGGCGTACCATTCTAATTGAAAACAAGTACGAGACTTATATGTCTTAAATTATAAATTTTAATGAAAAAAAATTGCTTATAATTTCTATATTATATATTGATATTCTTCAGAATGCCAACATATATTTAGACTAATCTAAAAAAAGTATGTCAATCGAATCAATATCTCATCAACTTTAATTTAAATTTTTACAATATAATATTTATTTTAGTTGAAGTTTATTAATAATTCGATAAAATAATAATTATATATTTCATAGTTTTGATTAATAAATTTGATTGATAAATTCTACAACTTAACAATTTTATCATTTTAAGAAATAAAATAAATTTGATTAATATTGCTAATTGTTGAATATTTATATCGACGATTGAAAACTCGCATTGCTAAATTAATAATTCCTCGAAATTATAATCATATCGTATCGTTTTTAATATAAAAATGGGAACACCTCAAAGACGTCAAAATGAAAAATCCACCGTGGCCATCTCGTGCACACAAGGGTGGCAAGAGTTTTGCTCGTAAATAGTTACACGATCAATCGGTCGCAGTTGTTACAAACAACCCCGCCTGACGTCGACTCCGACCCGGCGAAAGATTCCTGCTTTTGTTGTTGCGATGCCTGATTCCTCGATTCATCCGGCGATATGAAGTGCCTGCTATCGTCAGGTGCACCTTCACCTCCGCCCATAGCATGAAACAAAGGCGTGGGTGACCTCGGTGAAGTGGCCCTTCCGCCAATCGCATGGCTCACGGAGGAGTAAAATTCTGTCCTTGAAGGAACTATGACATGGAAGTAGAGAAAAAACGCCATGACAACTGGGCAATTCCGAGAAAATATCGGATCGGAAGCGATCACTTGATGAAACCCTTCGACAATCACGTCCGCCAATCTATGCGCGCGTGTTTCTGAATTCTCAGACTAAAAAGCAGTTTTCCAAGTTACTATTAGAAAAATACTGAAATTTAAGAATAATAATGGGAAGATATAAATTAAATTGAACCAATATTAATTTTAAATCGCAGATAGCGTAAACTCTCTAATCTGAGAACTGAAAATCCACACGACATTTGACATATACATTCGGACGCAAGTCGGAAATGGTTATTCTCGTAGAACACAATGGGGGCCCACTACTACCTTCCTCTCGCCGATATTTATTTTCTGAAAATAAAAGAAGCATGCTGATTGTGAGATGCGTCCTGGATCATGTAAACTTACACAATGAGCCTCTCGCACTCAGCACAAATGTTTTGTCCTGGTGGTAAATTTGTCTGCGGCGTTGATGGCTGCGGTTTCGTTTCCGGTGCTTGAACTGGCCTCAGTCCTGCGAGGGCGGGCGAGGACGGCGTTATCACGCCGCTCACGATATTTGGCTCCGCTATTTCGCAAACAAGTTATCGTATGGGCATGCAATGGCCCGGCTGGAGCCAATTCTGGTCCGGCCGATTAATCGCCGAAGAACGTATTAATTTTTTTAATTTAGATAAATTTTAAATAGCATAAAGTCATTGCTTTAATAATATATAGTTATCATCTAATTCAGCAATGCTAAATGAAAAACTTGCAATATTTAGTCAATTTTTTACATCTATATTTACATAATTATGTAAAGAATTGACTAAATTTATATACAAATTATTACTTAAAATGATCGTAAATATCGAAAAAATGTTGTAACTACGATAATATGTATGGTCATCATAGTACAAATAAATTATTTTATTCGCAATAACCTCTTCACAAAAATGTAACACGAAATTGCAAAATTATCAATATTTCGAAGAATTTAAAGATCATTTTTAATTACATTACAGACATCATAAGTCACAGACATAATAATTTTTAAAATGAACATTAAAAATATATGAACATGGTACAATGTACGCTCTTCAGTGATTTTGTATAATTTATGTAGGCTTAAATATCTAATAAGAATAATTATATCTGTAATTATATATTAATATACCTTAATCTTAACTCCTTAAAAAACTCTCTGTTGTTGTGATATATCATTAAAATAAGATGAATGATACTAACCAGGTTCCGGGGTCTTTGGTTCTTTGTCCGCTTCCTGGACCATTTTGAAAACCTCACTGTTCTCGGAATTGTAATTTTTCTCGTTCTTTTTGAAATTTACCCTGCAATGTATTCGCATCATAAATAAATTATTTTTATATCAAATTGGCAAATTTAATAATTAGCTGAATTGAAAGATATCACAAAAGTTATTTAAGCTTTCCCTAAAAACTTTTCTTATTGCTCTTATATCTTTCATTAATATTTACTCTGTATCTTTAATTAATATTTCATTAATATTTTACAATTTTTCTGATTATAAGTTTTACTTCGGTTAATATAAGTTAACTTCGGTTGTATATTTCTGATTAGAAAACGATTTTATGTGATATCTTAGTTTCATCAACTGTCTCTCTTGCTATTTTGGTTTCACGATTTTACCCAAGGACACCTCCAGCGAGAACTTCCGCTTGAGCCGACAGCGTTTCCGCGATGGTTTCCTCGCTGTAGATTGCTACGGGACTGTTGTACTGTTTGTTCACAATAGATTTAATTGGACCGTCGCTGGTGCCGTTCAGCTGAAAATTATTATGTCCCACAATGTAGAGAAATAAATAATTAACTACCTTTCATGTTTTTGTTGCAGAATCGGCGAAAGCAAAGGCAGATTAACAGTCAATACTAACGAATGGCTTGGGGCTAAAGTTGTGTCCACTACCGATGTGAGATCCATCTTGTTTCTTCGCTGCCAAAGAGGTCTTTGTGACTGGCGTAATGTTACCTGCGGAGGCACTATGTATCGGAGACGGCAGGTTTGCGGTTGCGGGTGTCACATGCGGTTTCCAGGTACTGCCACCTCTATAATGATAATTTATTTCATTTATAAAACGTTACAAGACGTTGATAGGCTTCAAATTATAAATTGTTGTACTTTAAGGTTATTAAAATATTCTTTTAATAAAAAAAATCATAATACTTCAATATATGAATATATTTAATATATAAATTTACCTAAAAATTGAAGAAGCAAATACAAATTTTCTGAAAATATATTTGAAATTTTCTAAAAATAGACATTTTTTATATTATGCACATATCATGCGTGAATAATTATCTTTATAATAATCAATAACGCCACGACAATATTTTTGCTGACAATTGATTAACAGTAAAGTCGATTAAAGACAATTGCTGTTTGAAGCAACTTTACGAAGTGGCAATATTTTTAAATACTGAATCATTCGTTTATCTTAAACTTTATTATGTTTAACATCTTACCTTTGAACAGTTATTTCGAAATTATTTCCGGCCTTGACTATGACATCCTGCGCGTCTTTATGCCTTAAATTATACGTATCAGTGGTGTTGACTTTAATAACCGCATCGCCGGCTTTAAGTCCAGCAGCTTCTGCAGGAGAACCACTATTAACCTGCAATAAAAGCAGACTTTGATTTATAAAAGCAGACTTAGATTTATATTGAGAGAAACTAAATTAACAGACATTAAATTATACTATTTGATTGTACAGCTTTATATATTATAATTATAATTTAGATTTATGAATATTATTAGGTATTATATTTTTGCATATTATATAAATATAACTGATAGAAAAATGTAAAAATAGCAGCGCGTAATTATAATTTTAAATCGAAATTTAAAATTAAATAATAGAAATTTGATCAGAATCATGAACATCTTCAATTATTATTAAGTTTATTTTACAATTAATAACATTTTCATTAAAATTTTTATTAAATTTTTATCAATTTTATTTTTATTAAAAAAATTTCCGATTTATTCAATTTCATATTTCTTTTATTCTTAAAAAAGGAAATAAATTTTTTTTTGCGACATATAGCAAGTTAAAATAGATTTTAATTTTTTACAATGAAGAAGTTAATAATTAACATGATATTAACACGAATTAATACGTTAATATTGTAGAAAAATGTAGATAAAAACAGATTTTATTAGAATATTATTGTATTTATAAAAATTTCCATTTTTTTTGCTGTAATTTTTATTTCAAATGAATATATTGTGAGAAATATCTATTTTGATATATAACCATACTTGTGATACTTTAAATAATGTTCTAAATAAATCGTAAAAATTAATTACACAAATTAATAATCTTTAATTGATATAAATTTAAAAAATAATTATATTTCATCATCTGTGTGTTTGTTCATGATCGTACTAAGACGATAATTATCGAAGCATATTATGTAATAATTATTTTTTAAAACTATACTTAAAACTATACTTTTAAAACTATACTTTTTAAAACTATACTCTTATAATTATATAGATTTAAATATTATTTATATTATTTATATTATTTTTGAATTTTTTATCGATTTTAATTGCCGATTATCTTCGGCTTAAGATCGCGTAATACATGAATCGGAGAAACGAATAAATCAAATAATGAAGTGTCGAAATAATGAAAAGTCGTTAACTCTATTATTAATAAATTTAAATTTCAAGAAGTAAAAATATTTTGCATAAATTTACTTTGTAGTGCGTCAAATATTTCTTTGTAATAATACAATATTAATGTCTTGACAAAAATCAAAAATATAAATATAAGTTATTGTTTTACTTCAATATTTATGATGATAATTATTAATTTAATGTGAAATTCGAATATATAATATCTCAATTGTTTTTTCAAACCATTCTTTCGAAATATTACAGTGTGCTCGGTCGTATAACACTCTATTTATATTCGATCACCTTGTTTTTCGTGCGGCACAACACGAGTTGAAAGGTAGCGATCCTAGTCGCTCCGTGTATCTCGAAACACAGTCACGATAGATACTATTAGAAGATGTTAAACATAATCACTTACAGTTATTGCAATTAATAATTATCCATCAGCGTGATTGATTAATTCATATGATTAACAATTGACAAGGATCATAAATATAAGTTATTGTTTTACTCCAATATTTATGATGATAATTATTAATTCAATGTTAGATTCGAATATATCTCGATTGTCTTTTCAAATCGTCCTTTCAAACCTTTCAAATATAAATTCCACCACATTCATTAATGCAAGAAAATAAAAAATTGTTCTTGCATATCATTGTAATTTGTTAAAATGCATATTTCGTGATTTATTTGATCCAAATGTAGTTGTACGAATAATTAGAGTACATTATATTTTCAAATATTGTAGTTTGCAAATAAGTGTGTGTCGTGTAATGCCGTGAGTGTTGCATCATAAAGAAACAGAGCTTCTTCTTCTTCTCAGCATATGTTGAGAAGAAGAAGAGAGTCATAGAGAGACGTCGGATGGCGATGGTGAGTAATTTATATAATTTATATTAATTTAATTTGATTTTTATTAATTGCTTATTTATCTTCGCTGGTGTACATCATTGTATAAAATATAATACATATAAAATATTCTAGAATTTATCTTGGATTTAATACAAAATATATTTTTACAATATATATATAATTTATATATACAATTAAATTAAAAAGTTATTAATAATTTTTATTATATATATATATATATATATATATATATATATATATGTATGTATACATATAATAAAAATTATTAATAACTTCAAATAATTTTTATAATTTAGATATATTTATATTTTACAATGATGTATATATATAAAATATAATGTTTGTACAACTTCGATGTCACATATTTTTAGTAATTGTTATTATTATAAATTATTATTATAAATTATTATTATATATATATATATATATATATATATATATATATATATAGAGAGAGAGAGAGAGAGAGAGAGAGAGAGAGAGAGAAATGATTATTTACATTTAACAGTCAACAAATTAAAATTTTTGTTGTATTTTTAATATTATATAAAAAATTATACAATTATTATTAAAAATAACAATCAAATATTTTTATATGATTATCATCCTATATCTTTTTACGTTCTATATTGTTGAATTGTTCGGATAATGGAATCTGAATAAATTCTCGTCTGAAGAAGCGAAAAATATGCTCGCGATAAATTTGCGTCGAATTATAAATTTGACAAAACATCATAAAGTTAATAATCGGAATTATGAATTAAAATGGCTCACACATAGATCGATAAATCCTTAGATTTATCGTTTTATTTATTTATATTTTCTCTAATACATATGTGTATCAACTTTATGAAAAGAACATGGATTTTGATTGTTCTTGAGTAAATCAAATGTATGTAATCTATATAAATGCGCTATAATCGGAGTATAGCAAAATTAAAAGATTAATTGGCAGCGATGTTTGAAACTATCTCGAATTTCGAATCTATTTTTACAAGACATGCCATTGGGTTAAATCTCTCCTCTTCTTTCTTGTATCCAGACTCCAGAGCCACTATATTTAAGTGCACGCACGTCATTACGCTTCAAATGTCGGATACTGTGCATCCATTCACGTTAGAGATTCGTTGTTGACAACGTGAAGAGACGAAAAGAGGGTAGAAAAAATGTTAAGGAGAAACAGAAGTACCCAAATTAAAAAAATCAAACGCTCCTTCATGCGATGAATCCCACTGGCGTTCTTATCAAACAAGCTAATTATGAGCTCGACTGCTATGATGATGATAAAGGCTAAATTAACAAAGGCTTCTATGTGTCGTTTCAATGTAATTAAGTATAAAATTAATCTGAGCTAATTGAATATTACTGACTTAAAAATATATAAAAAATAATATAATATAATAATATATTAAAGAAATAATTTTTTATCTTAATAATTATTTCTCTCTCTCTCTTTCTCTCTTTCTCTCTCATTTAAACTATATTTAATTAGAATTTTTGCAGTAATATAATTATAATGTTTCATGCACAGGAAATTAAAACGGGTTTGTGCATAATAGAATAATAGATATATTGTATATAATAAAAATAAAAAAAAAAAAAAAAAAAAAAAAAAAAAAAAAAAATAAAAAAAAGAATAATAAATATAGTCATTTATTTTATGCTTCAAGGAATTAAAATACATTGTTTTATTTTCATGAGAAATTTATTACTTTCGTGAAAAATTATTTTGCAACAATTTATTTTAAAGAATTACCGAGTAAAGTAAACCCACTTATATCGTCATTGCCTAACAAATACAATAATCAAGTAATAAGAGGAAATATGTAAGCTACTTGTCATCGAGTCAACTGTGATATTTTGGCAGAACATTGGAAATAATTAATAGGTGTTAACTTCTTCAATCGTAGGCGATCGGATAACGGGGGCCAAAATCTCTCTCTCTCTCTCTTTCTCTCTTTTTCTATAAATACATTTCATAATATATATTGCCGTTATTTTTATTGCGAGTCGTGCAACAGCCGTCCTCTCATAAAACATCCAGACGAAATAGATATTTCATTCGCCTCCTTTCCAAAAAGTGGGTCGTTTCATAGGCAGTTGGAAATATAATACGATATGCTTTACATTCCATAAATTGAAAATGTAATGATTATTTTTATAATTTTTATAAATGAAAGAAATTATGTTATTATATTCAAATTATGTCCTAGAGTCATTACATTAAGAAACAGTTTAATAGATATTATAATACATACGTTATAATACATACATACTTTTTTGAAAATCAAGATAATCAAGAAAATATGAGGGAAAAAAAGAATTATATATTTTTTGAATTATTTTATAATAAAAAAGAAAAGGAGAAAGTAATTAATAGCAATTAAAATAATATTGCAATAATGTTGTAATGTTTTACCAATTTGATAAATTAAATAATACTGACTAATAGCTTTATATCTCATTTTTATAAATTATAGATTAGTTTTTAATGTTGTCTAAAAATCATTGCTTTAATCTTCGCCACACAAGTTTCGAAAGTTATTAAGAAAGTCTTTCTGTTCTCACTTAGCTTTGAGTGAAGAGAAAAAGTGGAAGAGCTTGTAACTATAAAAATATTACTTAAGAATATATTGGTCTCTATGCTACATTTAAAAATCGTGTTTTTTTATTTTTTTTATTTTTCCTCGTAAATCCCCTATTAAAAGCGACTTTTCTAGATTCTCTTCGTCTAAAAGTCCTCTAAATTTTTAAAATTGAATCGCTACTGAAATGTACTTATTTATTTATTATATTTTGTGATTATTATAAATGATGAATCATCAGTAATAACACCTAAAATAAACTAAAACAAAGCTAATTTTTAAATTATTTACAAATTTTTTAACAATTTAATCTCTTAATTTTCGCTTTTCTTGTCAACTTCTTGCGCGAAACGTCATACAATCAGTGCGAAATCGAAACGTGAGTTGAGAGCAGTTTAATTTGCGCGTGTAGTTGCGCTGCAAATAGAAGCTCGCAAGCTTGCGTCATCGTCCTGAGTGTAATACCTAGTTTACTGTTCAGCTTCGCCTTCGATTTCGATAAACTGCGATAATCTAAAGCACACAACTT